AACGCTATACTGAAAATACAGAGCCGAAAATAAATCCTGCCAACTTAGAATTCTACGTCCAGAAAAGAAGAAGGAGCAAGACAAGGAGAAGGAGGAGAGGGAGCAGGAAGAGGGACAAAGACGTTTCCAGTAAATGGGACGAGCGATTCTGTAGCCAACAGACTAGCGACATAAGGACAAGATTCAGAAGGAAGCTCTGAGCCTTAAAGGAAAGAGCAGCAGATGGAACCTTGGGTCTGCAGGCAGGAAGGAAGAGCATCAAAATATAAATACATGGTGAAAATATTTTTCTCTTTTCCTAATTACTTTGAAGATAAACAACTGTTTGGAAATTACTAACGATGACTATCAGGTTTATAACTGATTGAAGTAAAATACACGACAACAGCAACAGTCACTAAGGTAAGTGGGAACAGAAATACGGAAGGTCTCCTGTTGTGGGATTCTTACACTCCTTCCTTGTGACGTGTCGTAACATCAACTCCCCATTGATCACTAGTTATGGCTCCATATTAACTCCTTAGAGCAACAGCGCAGATTTCAAAAGACTGGTGTAGAATCAGAATACATAAAACGGAATAGTATAACAATCACTGAATAATCCAAAGGAAGGCAGAGGGAGGAACAAAGAAACAGACGGGCTGTATGAGAGAAGCTAATGGGGCAGCGAACCTAAAGCCAACCACGTCAGAAGCTACGGGAGGTGCAAATGCTTACAAACTCCAAATGAAAGACTGAAATAGAATGCATTTTTCCCCAAAAAACCACAGAATCCAGCCAAATCCTGCAATCCTGGACAGACTGTGAGGGAGAGGAAGGTGGCGGGCTGAGCACAGAGCCCATCACGGCGTCTCAGCAAGAGCGAGGCTGACCTCCAGGCAGTGCTCCTGGGCACCCAGGCATTTCCTAACTGAAGGAGAGCGAGTGCCAGGCTGGCCCTGCCCGGCCCCGCGGCCCCCTCCCGTGGGAGCCCCCAACCAAAACAGACGGCAACAGGGGGCCTCGACTCGGGTGTTTCTGTTGATGTTTGTTAAACAGAGAGACGCCACCTCACCAGCACCTCTAAGCAGCCGCTTCCCTGGGACACTGTACCCCCAGAGCCGCCCCAGCCACCCCCATCTCCCCTGAGGGCCCCTCCTTCTGGCCCAGGAGCCTGCAGCTCGGAGGCTTCCCCAGGGCCGGTGTCCCAGGCCCAGGCCAGACCGAGGGCTTGGGGAATCCCAGCTAAGAGCTGGGGTCACGGGGCCACTGTGTGCTGAGAGCCGGGGGGGTGGACAGCGCCCCTCCTGCTGACCACAGAGGTCCCCCCAGAGCCAGGGTGAGCCACGGACCGGCGCCCCGCCCTGCCCCTCGAGAGCCGCCAAACCCTGTGACGACGTGGCTGCCGTGGAGGCCCGCCACCCGCTGGCTCCCCGTGGCCCCGCGCGGCCCCTGTTGGCGACTTTGTCTTGATCATTGAAGCCGGGGAGTCATTTAAAGACAGCAGGTGCGTTGATGGCCTTTCTCAACCAACGGAAACGCTCCGTTATTACCGAGACTCAACCAGGGGCAGAGGCTGCAAGCGCAGAGGAAACAGTCCACCGCCTCCGCTCTCCGCTTGGCCCAGCCGATCCGCCAGTTATTGGAGCCAAGGCGGCAATTTCACAGCAGCGGGGCAAGCGGGTGTCCGTCACCCGGGATCCAACCTTATTCTTCTCCACACTGTGCGGTGAGTGGATGGGCTTCAAACAGGGAAGGAGAAAACTTTCTGGATCTTTTCTGTAAATTGTCCAAGTATAAACTTTCTTTAAGGAAAACACCTGATTCCAGCAAGCAAGCCAGCCCGGTATAAACCTTCGAGCTGGGAGCCTTGAAGACGTCCTCTCACGAGCACCCATTAGGAGAAGCGTGCTGGGCCAGAGCAGGGACCTCGCCCCAGACGCCCCTGGGGTTGCATGACTCAGGAGTGGCCCCCAGGCCCTGGCCCTCTCCTGGCCCAGACCCCAGGGTCCCGGGCGGGTGGGGCTATTCTCAGTCCTCTGCCCCCAGGGGGCAGTGCTGTGGGACGCTGCCGTCCATGCCCCGCGTCCGCAGGAACAGCTCTGAGTGCGTTCTGGTCCTTCCCAGCGCCCTCCAGCTGCTGTCCAGGCCCATCCTGCCGGCGCCGGGCTCTCAGACACCTACGGGGACCCCTCTCCTAGAGCCTGCAGGCCTCGCTGACCCCTCTAACCGGGACCTCCCCTCCTCCCACCCCAAGCCCCCAGTGGACGGCAAACTGGACCACCCTGGCCGTCTGCACTTGACACCCCCACTCCACGCCCTGGGCCTGGACTCTGTCTCAACAGGGCATCCGGCCTGTGAGGTCTCTCATCTTGGATCCACTTGCATCTCCAACTCAAAACGCCCAAGTGGGCCTTCTGTTCCTCTGCACTCATCACCCTCCGGGCCTACGGGTGGGGCCCTGCCGTTCCCCCTGTGGTCACTCCTGGGTGTCCTGCATCCCTCAGGCTCCCCTCCGCCCCATCCGGGAGCATCCGGCTCCTGCTCCCCGCTTCCCCCCCATGGAGCAGTCCCTCCCCTAGCCTCTGGGCCGGGTCTATGACCCAGCACGCCATCCCAGCCCCAGCCTCCTGCGATGGCCAAAAGGCCCCCCTTGCACCTCTGCGGCCTGCCCCAGCTGTGCCCGCCAGGCGGTGTCCTCCTCCCAGGCCACCACGACCTCGTCCCTCAGAGCCTCTTCCTCCTCCATCCTTGCAGGGAGCATGGCTCCCTGGGTCCTGTGGATGAGCGGCCTCAACCCCAGTCCCTGGGGCTCCAGATCCGTGAGAATCCACCTCCGGTATGTTAAGCCTCAACTTGCGTTCCTTGGTCATGTCAGCTGCAGGGACCCGTCCGCTGCCCCTGGACTGTCTGCAGAGGCAGGGTCCCTCCTCTGCTCTCGTGTGAGCCCCCCCGCCCCTGCTCAGCATTACAGCCCCGCCAGCCCCTCCCAGCCTTTGGTCAGGCGCTGGTGTGTCCCCCCCTCCCACCTGGGAGCCACCGAGGGCAAGGCGCCCACCAGGGCATCCACGGGGACCCGGGCTGAGGGCGTCTTCCGGGCCACCTCCTACAAGTACCACCACAAGGACCAGAGACGGAGTTCCCAGCATCGCAGGGAGGCCCACGGCTGAGACCCGGGGAGAAAAGACTCGCCCTGCCTCACATCCGCGCCACAGTGATGAAAGGGCCACTTCCTCAGGCCTGATCCACCCACACCTAACGAGGAAGGAAAGGCAGCCTGTCAGAACCAGGTTCTCAGGAAAAGACGGCATTTTCGCGTTATCCCGACAGTTCAGAAACACTCCGAGGAGTTGTCTTGGACAATGACATGAATGAGTTCAGTATCTCAAATACAGCCTTCATCGTTCCCCGCCTGCCACTGCCCTCCGCAGCCTCGCACGTGGAGGCCTGGGGTCCCCCTGCCCTGAGCTCCGGGTCGAGGCTGCCAGCGAGTCGACGCCCTGACCACTTTGTCCCACACGGGGAATTTATTGAGACCATCAGGACAGCGATCGCCTTTCATAATCCGATCAATGAAAACCCACCAGGAGAGAGACAGTGTTTTAAAAAGTAATTGTTTAAATGAACTTGATATTTTTATTGCAAAAATATATCACAACACACTTCAAGGTTGAAATTTAGTTCAGTAACCACAAACCATTATTCACATGATTCATGGAGAAGCTAATGACAAACACTGTTGTGTTTTAAATAATCTAATAAGACGAATATTTACATAGGGGAGGATATTGGTTGAGTGTACACACACAAAGTGATATGTTCATCCACGGTGAGGAAATTAGTTAAATTCTGTCAGACCTGGTTTTTCTTTCTAAACGTGATGCCAGGGGCATCATTCACGTTTACTCCTGGCTTCCCAGCTGGTTTTCTCACAGCCTGCAGTGCAGACGCAGGCCTGGCCTCGGAGGGGCTGCTCGTGTACATGGTCTCACCTGGGCAGGTAGGTGGCCCTTCGGGTCTTACCTTCAGAACCAGCATCGTTTTCCTGGGGAGGTTCGGCTACGGTGTCCTGGGTTCACCAGCAGGGACTCCTGCAGGGCAGTGCGGCCACGAGTGGGCAGTGAGGCGCGGAGGGGGCTCAGGGACCCCATTTCCCTGCCTGGTCTGGAGCCAGGGGCCTGGAGGGGCCTGGGGTCAGGAGGCTGTCCACACTGGGGCCTGGTCTTACTGTCACCGGTGACGTGCCTGCGCCTCATCCCACGGCCTCTCGGAGTCAGCCAGTTCTCTCACACCTCCTCCAGGGAGCTGATGTCACGCCCAGGCTGCCACAGGGTTGCTAGGAAATGCCATGAAACCAGGCGGCCACATAGATGCCCCGAGTCCGGGGTCGGGGCTCTTTGGTCCACTGACAGCCCCCGTGCCCCTCACGACCCGCTCTCCTGTAGATGCAAATCTGCCCGGGGCTGCCCAGGCCACCCTGGCAGCTGGTTTTGCAAGACTGTAAACACCCCTGGGAAAGACTGAAGGCAGGAGGAGAAGGGGACGACAGAGCATGAGGTGGCTGGATGGCATCACCGACTCAATGGGCATGAGTTTGAGCAAGCTCCGGGAGTTGGTGATGGACGGGGAACCCTGGTGCGCTGCAGTCCATGGGGTCTGCATTCATAACAGAAGTTATGAATGCTACTTTTCCCCAGCAATTAAGATGGTGAAACACGCCTGCTCTCTGCAATTTGCAATTTTACCTACTTACCCCTAAAGCAACATTCCATGTAAATGCATATTTAAAGCAAAATCCTCAACTGGGTGAGGAAGGGGCCACCTCATATGCAGTCACAATCTTTAAGGAATCGTCTTTAAGGAATCTTTAAGTATCAGAGTGTTAGCTGCTCAGTCGTGTCCGACTCTTTGTGACCCCATGGGCTTTAACCCACCAAGCTCCTCTGTCCATGGAATTCTCCAGGGAAGAATATTGGAGTGGGTAGCCATTCCCTTCTCCAGGTGATCTTCCAGGCCCAAGGATCAAAGCCAGGTCTCCTGTATTGCAGGCAGATTTTTTATAGTCTGAGCAAACAGGGAAGCCCTGTAAGTCTCAAAAGGGGACAGTTGAGTAAACAAGATCCATTTCAAGGCAGAATACATTAATCTAAGAACAAAGAACAAAATTAAAGATCGGCAGTATGGGGCACTGATTCCGAAAAACCAAGGTGTCCTGAGGTGGACTCTGCCACCTGCTACTCTCTGAGACAAATGCAGACTAAACATTTCCATTTGTATAGCTGGAGTACTTATCACAGAAACACAGAGGTCAGTGATGGGTCATCTTGAATCAGATGATTTCACTTGAAGGAATGTCTCTTTCATTTTGTATACAGAAGAAAGAAGATAAAGCAAATGCAGATGGCAAAACCATTTAGCATCTTTTAGCATTAACAATTCTTGAATCTTGCCTTGATGTGGAGAAGAATGTGTCAGTTAAGGTGGCCAGTGGGGCCCCGGGACACAGAAAAACCTAGTTCTAGAACACTGTGAAGCACCACTTGGCTCCCAAGCTGTGTGCTTTTAAAAACAGTCCATAAATGATTTCAGAAGTTTCACTGCTTAAAAAAAAAGTACCATGTCATTTTCTATAACAAGCAGAGAGGAACTCAGAACTGTTGAAGGGAGTCCATGAAATAATGCTGAAGGCCAAAGAATGTTGCAAATGTGAAGCTTTGGAGTATGGGAGGAGGAGAAAAGGAGCAATTCCATCAAAAGGCCTCCATGTGCTGACTCGAAGTGTCTGCTCTGCAAATCGCTGTGGACAAAGGCGGTGGTCCTGCTGCCACTCAGCTGCAGCCGACCAGCCCCTTCATGGTAAGCTGCTTAAAAACCCCAGTAGTGGGAAGCTTGGTGAGCTGGGAGAGGGGAGAAGACAGAGTCCCGGAGTGCACAGGTGCCTTGGAGGTTCCAGTGGAAGGCTGCATCTCTCTGCCATCCTGCATACATGTGCAACAAGGCAGAAAGGGCGAGCCTCACCTCGCTACCCTTTCCTGAGAGACAGCCAACTTGTCAGTCCTTCCACCCAGCTGCATCAGTTGATGAGTCCAAGTGACTTTCCAGGCGGTTCCAGGAAATGAGAATGGATTCTGCCTGGGCAGTACCCAAGACCAGGACTTGAGTCCCAGGCGGCCCCATAGCGGCCAGTGGGCCAGGCGTGGAGCAGGGCACTCGCTGTCACGTCCTGACGAATGGCCTCATCTTCTCTGCACACCTGTGATCACAAGGGGACAAGAGAGAGGCAGACAGACAGACACAGGCAGGCAGGGTGCACAGCAAGCGGCCGGGGCCTCTGTCCCCTGTAGTGTGGGCCCCCCCACAAGCCCCAGAGCTCACTGGAGGCCAGCTGCATGGGCGAGATCTTGCTGGCTTACTTCCGTCAACGACACACTTCTTAGCACACATTGCAGACTCGCAAGGAGAGCTGTTCCTGGTGGTTCGAGTGTCAGTATCTGTCTTGTGAGGAATTCCCAATGGGGAATAAGAGTAGAAAACTTGAAAACTTGCAGACATCACATTCGAAATGCAAACAGTGAGTTATGGGCTTGGAACTAATAAGCCCGAAATAAACGTGGCCCTGGATCCGGCGGAAATGACATGGAACGTGCCACAAAGCATAAAAAGTCTCTTTTTGAGTCAAAAGCTGACAGTTCCCATAAAATTCAATACTTGAAAAAAAATACCAATGTCAATCATAACGGAGAGTCTGACAAGTCCTCAGCAGAAAGCCTTTTCTTTTCTGTGGAGAAGAAAATCAAAGGAAACAGAATTCACCAAGAGCCCCAATTACCCTAAATATATGTAACAACACAGATCGGTGGGGGCCAGCTCAGAGCTCACTCACTCCTGAATTCCAGCTCAGACGTCCCATTCTCTTCAGAAATCTTCCCCTGAACATTTCCAGGAAACTCAGATTCCACGTGTGTGTAAAGCAGAGCTCATCTTCCCCGAATCCCATGACCCCGGACATTTCCCCTGTGGATGCACCCCACCTCTCCCAGCCCTGGATCGTGAGCGCGTTCTCCCACTAGTGAACCTGCCTGCCTCCACTCACTCGCCCCATGCCCGCCTCTCATCTGAAAGTGGCCCATGTGCCCCTTGTCGGGACCGGGCACCCCCAACCCCCTCTATTTAGCCTAGTCGTCTGTCCAGCATCAAGGAGATGGTGGCCCTGCTGCCCTCCCAGAAGCAGTACACCCACCACCAAACTCTGCTTCATAACCTCGCTAACTGAAAGAAAAAAGACCTTATGCAATTCTTGCAAAAATTATCGCAAGCGTGTCAACTGTTAAAAGCTGTTGAAAAAAAAAAAACTGTTATTGTTCTAATTGTAATAGATCAGAAATTCGAAGATTTTTGAAAATCCTTTAAGTCGATGAAAAGTGGGTCGGCTCCTGGGGCGTCTGGAGGCCTTAGGCCTGAAGGTTAGGACAACGAATGAGGCAAAACAGAATTGGGGCACAGCTGTGTTTTCACAGAAGGAAAAGGGCGACTTTGGTGGCTGGAAAATGTGGTTCCCAGCGTGGAATGACTTGCTCAGCCATGCCCCCACCTCGCCTGGAGCCCGGGCCTGGGGGAGAGTGGAAACAGAATACTGTGCCCCCCGAGCCGAGTCAGGGTTTGCAGACCCCTGGGGCAGCCCAGCAAAACATCAAGGTGCAGCGGTGGCCGTGAGCAGGGAGCCAGAGTCGCATCGTCTGGGGGCTTTCGCTCTCTGAGGACAAATGGGGAGGGGCTTGGTCCTTGGTCTGAGGCATGATGGGTGGGAGGCACTGGGATCTCCGCTGGACTCGTGCCCTGGCAGCCAGGCGTCTCTCTTGGCCCCCTTTGCCTCCCTGTGAGCCATTCCTGCCTGGCCCACTGTTCAGTTCAGTCGCTCAGTCGTGTCCGACTCTTTGGGACCCCATGGACTGCAGCATGCCAGGCCTCCCTGTCCATCACCACCTCCTGGAGTTTACTCAAACTCATGTCCATCGAGTCAGTGATGCCATCCAGCCATCTCATCCTCTGGTCCTCTGACCCTCCTATAAATTCTGTGAGTAACTGGTACTCTCTGAACAACCAGTGCACCATCACCCCTCTAGGCCAGAATAAACCTGAGAGTGTTCTCTCTGCAGTTAAGAACCCTGTTACCAGAGGTCTGCAGGTAGCAAATCCGGGCCTTCGTGACCAGGTGGCTGAGCCTTGAGCCCGGGGTGCGGGCAGCCCCCAGCACACAGCGATGGAGCAACTACTTCACGATCACCCAGCCCGAGGATGACGTGCCTCTGGAAGCCAAGGCTTGGGCACAGCGAGATGCTGCATTTCTAAGTCATTAGGATGGGCATGAGGAATTTAAGGCCTGTCAGTCAGGCGGGTGGCTTCTAATCATGACGAGGAACCTAAAAATAAAACAAGTTCAAAGCTAAAACCTCTCAGCATAAGATGTGATCAAGGGATGAGACGATTCTGTGACTGCCTTCCGTGAATCCCTTATCTCCTGTAGCTGGATAATTCAATGCAAAGTCTGATTCCTCGGGTTGTTGAACCACAACGTAAGAAGTCTGTTACACACATGCCTCTGCAAGTCTCTGAGGAAGGTGGGGTGGGCCTAAAAATTGGGACAAGGGTGTTTGGGAGGATTTTAATGAATCCAGGGCTCCTCCCAAACCACCAACCTCCTGAGCCTCACCGGCAGAAGTAGCAATGCTTCCTGCCACCGCTAGAGCTGCTGCCACCTCAGAACACGGCCGGGCCTCACCAGAGTGTTGTGTTGACAAAATGCCGTTGCTCTGGCCTTGTCTCTACACCCCCACCCCATTTTCTTTAGATCTATAGTTAGAAGCAGACTCTCTTTATGACCCAGGAAGCTAATTATAGCATCCAACCCCAGAGAAGACGTACCCTCTAAAAGAAATTCAAGGTCATCATTGGTAACAGAAAGAAAACTTGAAGACTGTGTAAGGGTATCTATTTGAAGACGCTGGACCTAGGAGAAGAGGACATACATTTAAATAAAAGTTAATTATGCAAATGAGGAACGTAGAGATTCTGGATTCTGGGGCTCACTTGATTACCTGGGAATGGACTAGTTGATTTCCCAATTGTTGACGGCAACCTGGACTCGGTGAGAGCTGGTGCTGAATGAAGCTGAGATGCCAGAATCCTGTGTGTGGTGAGGAGAAGGAGCTGGAAGCAGCGATCCATGCAGGAATGGGTTGGGGTTCCTGCACGCAGACATCAGAGTCCACTCCGGTGGGTTCTACTGCAGAGGACTCCTTAGCCCACAATGTCTCCAGAAGTGTGACCACGAGCTTGGAAGCCATAGATCCGGGAGTCGTGTGCCGAGGAGAAGCTGTGGGACAGGGTTCCAGCAGGAATCCCACTGCGGCCACCCTGGCCCCCGATGCTGGTGGCTAGGTGAAGGGCCAGTTCCATAACTGTGCCCAAGGGCCAGCCTGTGGCCATGGAGCCAACTCCTAAGGGCCTGGCTCTTCAGACTTGCCCCCAAGAAGCGTGTGGTTGGTCTGATGGGCAGAGCCTCTGGTCACGTGTGGATTAGGCTTTCCAGCCTCTAGAGGACAGGAGGCTCACTCCCGGAGGGTAAATCACATGCTGAAGGAAGCACCCTGAATGTTTTCCAAAGGAAATCCTGAAACGCGTCGTCTCTACGATCCGAGCCTGTGCTGAACAGAAGAGGGCCTGCCGCATGTGCTGACGTTTACCCGATGAAGGCCCGCGGTCACACGTGCTGGAGACGGAGCAGAGATGAGCGTGCAGCGGGGCTCGTGGGAAGACGCCCGAGCACGGCTGCACCGGCGCAGCGGGAGGGGGCCCGGGTGGGCCTGGGCACTGAGGGGCCGGGGCTGCAGGTACTGAGGCCGGAAGCGAAGGCAGGGACACGCAGCCATCATCGCTGCCCGAGGCGACCGGACGACGCTTCCTCAGTGTGGAGGCGGCGGGCTCAGCCTGCCCGAGTGGAGCGTTCAACCAAAGACGCACAGTCAGCCACAACAAACCCACAAGCCATTTCTGCACCAGACGCAGCTTTTCCAAGAGAGAAAAAATGACAAGTTCTTTACTTCAGTTATTCGAACAGTAAATGAGTAACTGGTACCGCATGAAGTCAGGAAGCCAGGAGATCTACGCTGGAGCAGAGTATATTTCTCTGTCTCAGGAAAGCAACCAACCTTCCTGGAGCCTCTGTTTTCATTTTTTTATTTTTATTAATAAAAGTGTATTAATACAAATTTATTAATAAAAATTGTGGGCATGATGATTTGATCTATAGATGCAGAGTGAAAAGATGACCACAGCCATTTTTTTTTAATGTGGGCACCAGAAATCTCTTCTCCTAGCGAATTTCCAGAATCCAACACAGTATGGTTAGCTCTGGTCACCCCTCTGAGCACACGTGACTCGCCAGGCCCAGCGATGGGTTTGGGCTGGTGCTCCGGGCCCCTCCACCAGCAGGACCCAAGAAAAATGTGTGAGCTTGTGTCTTTCATTTCCGAAGACCAAGAGCATCTTCAAAGCAGTGAAAGGCCCCAGAGGAGTGCTGGTTAACAGCCCTGTTTTACAGCTGAGGAGATTATAACAGAGAGCAGTGAGGAATGGAGGTAAGATCACACGGCCAGTCAGTGGTTCGGGAACGGTCAGCGGTCCAGTGCATTTCCTACACCTGCCCCTGCTCTGTGGCCCAGGAAACCGGCATCCAGAGAAAATGCTTCTTTAGGATAAAATCAGGCTTCCCTGCTGGCTCAGATGGTAAAGAATCTGCCTGCAATGTCGGAGACCAGGGTTCAATCCGTGGGTCAGGAAGATCCCCTGGAGGAGGGAATGGTTACCCACTCCAGTATTCTTGCCTGGAGAATCCCATGAAAACGTTGGAGCCTGACAGGCTACAGTCCATGTAAGATAAAATTAGGGCCCTTAAATTCAAGAAAGAGAGACCACTGTAAAGCCATAGAAAGTTCTTAAAAATAACTATATAACATCCTCACAGACAAGTTACACTCTTCACTGTTGGCCATAAGTTGCTATTTTGAGCCTTAAAATAGCATGCTGAACTTTCACAGATAGTGTCAAGTCAAGATCGATCCCAGTAATGACTAATTCTGTGACATTGACTTTTTTATGTTAACTATATTTTTTAAATTTGTTTTTAATTGGAGAATAATTACACTATTGCGTCGGCTTCTGCCACACATTGTAGGAATCAGCCGTAGATACACACGTGCCCCCTCCCTCCCTTCCACCCCGACCCTGCCCGCCCCCCCGGTTGTCACAGAGGGCTGGGCTTGAGCTCCCTGAGTCCCACCACAAACTCCCTCTGGCTGTCCATCTTACATATGGTGATGCACGTTTCCATGCTGCGCTCTCGGTCCATCCCTCCCTCCCCTTCCCGCACTGTAACAGCAGGACAGAGGCTCCGTCCGCTTTGCCCCAGGCTGTGGGGGAGGTTGGAGGAAGAGCTGGGGGCAGAGAAGCCTCCAGCCGCTCCCCTCCAGGTGGGGTGTGGGAGGGGCCTTGAGGCAGCCCAGCCCCCATAACTCACGTCAGCTGATACAGGCCCTGCAGCAAAACCATGTTAAAATGCGTGTCTCCAGCTCCGTCCCAACGTCTCAGGCCATGGAGTTGGCCTTTGAGATGAGTGATGCCTATTCATTGTGACAGTGACCTGCTGTGTGGCGGTGGACATTGGGGGGTCCATCAGCTGTGCTAAACACTTTTCCTGAGATGAGCTCTGAACAGGACCAGGCAGCTGTGCCCTCGGGCTTTGGGCTGAGCTTGTGGAGGCCAGACTCCCGGGTCCCCCCTCCAGATAGCCGAGTTCTCAGCAGCTCCCCACGAGGCCCCCAGGCAGGTGGTCTGTGGGGTTCACGCTGAGAACCCCGGGCCTCCAAATGGGCTGAGAAGGATGGGAAGCTTCTGCAAACAGACACTGGCATCTGCCTGTGGGTCTCAGGGGATGCCTGGTTAGAGCCTGGACACCTGCGGAAACACGGGTCTGCAAATGTGATTCTAAGTGATGAACTGAGCCCGAGAAATTGCTGTCAACTCAGCACTGCCTACAAAAGCATAAAATTGCACCTCCTTTCCAGGGGAAAATTTAGCAAAATGTTAACAAAACGCATTAAAGAGCATACCCAGAAATTTCACCTCTTGTCATTTAGACAACGGAAATTACCGGAGAAGTTTGCAAAGACGTAGGTGCCTGGACTTCATTACACGTGCTTAGCGATTGCAAAACGCTCAGCCTGAACTTCCAACCACAGAGTCTTGGTCGAATTTCCGAGACTGGAGAGCGCAGCCATCGGAAGCGGTGGCTGCAGCAGACAGCCCACACCACTCAGACCATCACCACCCATCCACCACCCACCCCCCGCAGGGTGCGTTTTCCTCGGAGTCTGCTCCTGACACTTACTAGGAGGGCCCGCAGGTGGTCTAGGTCCCTCATTGGGGACAATGCTAAGGAAAACTTGCTCTTCTGGAAGGCCATAGCACCTGCACCAGTGTCTGCTGACAGGAAGAGCTGTCCACATAGACTCTTCAGTGAGAATGCCAATCACAAAACAGCACGCACGGCAGACCAGGCTTCCCTGCTGGCTCGGATGGTAAGGAATCTGCAATGTGGGAGACCTGGGCTTGATCCCTGGGTCCGACCCCTGGGTCAGGAAGATCCTCTGGAGAAGGGAAAGGCAGCCCACTCCTGTATTCTGAACTGGAGAATCCCACGGATAGAGGAGCCTGCTGGGCTGCAGTTCATGGAGTCGCAAAGACTTGGATATGACTGAGAGCCCGACACACTCCCTGCACGTGGACTTTCTGCACATGGGAGCGCCGTTACCGCCAGGAACCGCCCTTACCACCAGGGACCGCCCTTACCGCCAGGGAGCGCCGTTACCGCCAGGAACCGCCCTTACCGCCAGGGGCCGCCGTTACCGCCAGGGGCCACCGTTACCGCCAGGGGCCGCCCTTACCGCCAGGGGCCACCGTTACCGCCAGGGACCGCCCTTACCACCAGGGACCGCCCTTACCGCCAGGGGCCGCCCTTACCGCCGGGGGCCGCCCTTACCGCCGGGGGCCGCCCTCACCGCCGGGGACCGCCCTCACCGCCGGGGGCCGCCCTTACCGCCAGGGGCCGCCCTTACCGCCGGGGGCCGCCGTTACCGCCAGGGGCCGCCCTTACCGCCAGGGGCCACCGTTACCGCCAGGGACCGCCCTTACCACCAGGGACCGCCGTTACCACCAGGGACCGCCCTCTTACCGCCGGGGACCGCCGTTACCGTCAGGGGCCGCCCTTACCGCCAGGGGCCGCCGTTACCTCCAGGGGCCGCCCTTACCGCCAGGGGCCGCCGTTACCGCCAGGGACCGCCCTTACCGCCAGGGACCGCAGCCCTGCAGGACCTCAGGCGTTTTCACAGGGCAGCAGCCGCACTCGCTTCATCTCATCAGGAAACTTATCCTGGGCTGGATGAGGGCAGGCTGCCATGTCCCCAAACTACCAGCTGCAAGATAGGAAGGGCTCTCACATTTCCTGATTCCCACGTGGAGAAAGGGCAGGACACTCAGCCTGAAGGGGGGGCCCACGACGGAGGAGGCAGGGCCCCCGCTCTGAGGGGAGCCCATTCTGGAAGGGGAGACGGGAAGAGGTGCAGGCGTGACTGGGTCAGAGAGCACGGGGCCACGGGAAAGCACGGTCAGAGCTCACAGGGGACCCAGAGGTGTGGCGATGGGCAGGGGACACACGCAGGCCAGTGTCCAGCAGGAGGGGCACGGGTCTGCCCCAGGCACTGCGTCACTGGAGAGGAGACCCCGGGTCGCAGTCAACTCGCCCAGGCTGGTTTTCTTGTGCGGCTGCTCCCCCGGGAGCCACGCCCCCGGCTTGCTCCTTCTGCCGTGGGGGCGCGTGAGGACAAGCAGCCCACCCCTTGGTCCCCCTTGCTGCCGCCGGTGAAATGCACGGCCACCCTGGGGAGACACTGTGTGAGGGCCGGGGCAGGCCTGCGCGCTCCCCAAGGCCTCCAGCCCCAGTTACGGGGCGTGGGTTTGTCTGAAGCAGCGGGCAGCCCCCCTCAGTCCCCGAGTCCTGCCAGCCCCTCTGCACCCCTTCTTTGCACCAAGATTCGCTCGAGGCCCTGTAAAGACAGGGCCGGTGGGAAACGTGGCGGATGAGGAGACAGACGTGACAGGTCCAGGAGGAATGGAGAGGTGGCTCGGGGTTTCTTGGGCGCGGGAGCAGCGAGGGAGGGTTGTTAAGGCTTCCTCATGGGAAATATTCTTCAGCAGCACAGACATGGCGTCAGCTCCCGCCCTGGGCACTGGGTGCCACAGGGACCATGACACAGCAGACCCTCACCGGAGAGAATTTCTGTTTTGGGGAAGGAGACAATGGACAAGGAAGCAGTCAGTTCAGCCGGTAAAACCCCGACATCGTCACATGTAGGGAGCGGTGGGATGGGTACCCGTGCAGAGATGCCGGAGTCAGTCGCTCCAGGCGCGGGGCAGAGGGCACAGCCCTGGGGCAGGTAGGGCGCAGCTCCCCCGAGGCACGGAGGGGAGGTCCGTGCACCTGAGTCCCATGAGGTCGGCCAGGCGGCCAGAGAGCAGATCCATTAGCCCCCGAGGGTCACAGGGAGGGGTCCGGCATGGTCCACGTGGGTCTGCAGAGCCGTGCTGGCCCCAATGGGGTCAGAGGGCTCAGCCAGCTGGGGAGAGGCTCACCTTCCTACTGATGCTGAGTGAAGGATCCAGGGGAGAGAGGGCCAGGCGGTGGTTAGACCAGGATGAGGCCACCGGGGCAGGGCAGGCAGAGACCCCAGGAAGTCCTTACGAATAAAACGTGTGTGTGCTCAGTAACTTCAGTCGTGTCTGACTCTGATACCCCAGGGACTGTATTCCACCAGATTCCTCTGTCCTTGGGATTCTCCAGGCGAGAATACTGGAGTGGGTTGCCATTTCCTCTTCCAGAGGATCTTCTTGATCTGGGGATCAAATCCGAGTCTCGGGTCTCCGGCATTGGCAGGAGGATCCTTCACCAGCGCCACCTGGGAAGCCCAGGTGAACAAGACAGTGGAAGCCAGTCTTACCGATGAGAGAAAACAAGGTGAGTCTGCAGGATCCTGGCTGATGAACCCCAAGTTATCTCATTTAAGACGCTTTCCTTGTGTCTGCTAATGCCGTCCAGCCAAAGACCTCCAGGAACACCCCTGTGGCTTAGCGCGTGGGTTTATTGCTCTGTTCAGCAAAGGACAACACACACCAAGAGTGCACAAGGGGTGTGTCAGTGAGAGGATGGCAGAGAGAACCTCTGATGGGCTTTGACCGGCGTTGAGGGCCCCTGTCGGGAGTCCAGGAGAGCAGGAGTTTGCTCGGGACGGGACACTGCCAGGAAGTGGGGGAGAGTCCACGACTGGGTATCCTGGGAAAGCAGCCACCACCACGCTCATCAGCCAGGGCCCAGGAGCCGGTCACTGAGCGTGGACAGGGAGCCCATGTCTGCACTCAGGTGAGATCGCGGGGGTCCTGGCACTTGTCCCAACCCATCACGGTTACGGAGTGGCTTTGGCGGACGCTGGGCGTTCTGTGATGCGTAGAAGGCGGGGGCCCAGGTGCAAGCCAGGGGTCACTGTGCTGCTTGTCAGATCCTCCCCCCTCCACAGTTTGGAAGCTCTCCAGTCTGCTGCAAGAGCTGCCTCGACTTCAGCAGGATGGGTCAGGGTGAATGCCTTGCCTTAATTACTTTCCTAGCACAAGGAATTCCACTCCAAAAACGCCATTCCTCTGCCAAAGCAGCACACTTCTTTGCTCTGCTGTGCCTTCAGAGATCACTGAGTGCTTATAATTAGGTTGTGAAACCATGCCATCCTTCAGCTGGTGTTTGCTGTTTTAATAACAGACTTGTTTTGCATTTTGAAGTAAGAAAATGTTACCATATACATGGAAATTATGCAGACTTCTTTACTCTGGAATCTAGGGTGGGGGTGAGGAGACTTCATTAAAAAAAAAGCGTTGTCTTATTCTAAATAGCAGTGAGGTGCATAGCATAATATGTGATGATTCAATAAAGACACTCATTTAAATTGCAGATGGTTATAAAACTGAGACTGCAGATAACTTTACTCTGAGAATGTATAGAATAAACAATCTCTTAATATAATAAAGTCACTTGTCGTCTTTGCAGTTTATATTAAAACTTCACTCGAGATGTGATTTCCAGGCAGGTCTCCGAAAACACTCCCTCAGGACAGTAAAATTCAATGACACTGGATCATCCCCAAGAAATAATAAAAAAGGGACACGTTATATGTTGTCAGGGAAATTCCGAAACTTTGTGTTCAAGGATGAATTATTCATTAAAAGTTTTCGGAGAAGTCCAGGTGGTGCAAAACCAAGTTTCTGAATGATGAAAGGAATCTTGTTTCTATATCCAAAAACGCATCCTTTCTTGGAACCAACTGTGCACATTTAGCAATGCCATCGGGTAACAGGGCTAACCCCCGGGGAACGTAGCCCCAGGGCTCCTCTCCCAGGGGGCTGTCCCCCACAGGCCTGGGCCGCCAGAGGCAGGAACCCAGAGGTCAACAAGGCCAGGCGGCAGGCATATTCTCAGGGTTCAGGGGACTAGACCAGACACAAGGCTCACAAACCCCAAAGCGGCCAGTGGGGCGCTGACAGCCGTGGACACAGCCCTCAACACAGCTTTCTACAGAGAGAAGCCGGCCGTCAGGATCTCATCTCACAGGTGACAGATTAGCAGTCCCTCCTATGTACTCCCACCCTCCTCACACCATGTATTTACTTATTTTAACCACGTCTCATTGCATGAGGAATTCAACTCTGTAGCCAAAGGAAAACCAGAAAGCACATCAATAGGGAAACAGCCCGAGACCTGACCGCCTGGGGTGACCACGGCTCAGGTCCGCTGCTGCCCTCCCCAAGGCTCGGCCGCCCAGGTGATCCATGAAAGGTGTCACCGCTGGCTGAGGTTTTTTGTGGGATCTTCTTCCAGTCCCCACGCTCCACTTTCTGCATTTGGAGGAAATCCGCTTGGGTGATAACTTTGACTACATGCCTCACTCCATTTTCTGGTCTCTCCAAAGTCCCCGGTCATTGGGGTCACTTGGCACATAAAATTTCCTTTGTGTAACCTTCCATAAAAACCATCTTCTCTAATTTTCTTAATTACTGTTTTCTTTTTCACTTGCATTCGCTGTACTATGCACATTCGTTCACTTTTTTCAGTCCCGTCTTTTCTGTTTGATTCCTAGCATGTTTTAGTTCTGTGACTGTGTTTTTTGGGTGGTTAAACGTGTTGCCTTGCTTTCACAAACCTCCTTTTTCTCTTCCCGGTTCTCTAAAATTACGTTTCCTTCTGAGTCAGGTTCTTCACATTTGCTTGTCTCTAACGGGAAGGTTGGGCTTCCCCGGAGGCTCAACAGGAAAGAAGTTGCCTGCAGTGCGGGAGCTGCTGGAAACGTGAGTTTGATCCCTGCACCGAGAAGATCCCCTGGAGGAGGGCAGGGCCGCCCGCTCCAGTATTCTTGCCTGGAGGATCCTGCGGACAGAGGAGCCTGGTGGGCTACAGTCCCTGGGTTTGCAAAGAGTCAGACACGACTGAGCGACTGAGCATGCATGCATGCAATGGAAAGATTAATCATCTGCTTATTTATGTCTGCTTCATACTCAGGCTCTTACATCAAAAAACCTACATTTACTAACACACTGGGAGGGACTTCTTCCTACCAGAGCTGGCCCTGGACCACAGGGACCCTAGTCTTCAGGCTAGGACTGTCCTGTTCCCCCAAAACTTCAGTGGGGAACGCCCTACGGAAGGGCTATCAGAGCATCCGGATGCTGGAGTATTAGGAACGGGACTATGACAGCTCAGTGCCAGGCCACCTTCCATGGTGACCCATGGTCCCAAGCTGCATCCCTCCTCGGACTCAGCCGAGGCCCTTGGCATCCTCTTCCAGAACGCCTGGCTCTGGACTTCAGGCAAGGAGGTCGAGAGTGGGGTGGTCCTGCCCACTTCTTGGTCAGCAGCCCAAGAGGACACATCCTCCTGGCTGGAAGCAACCCCCAAGCCCCAGAGAGTGGCAGCTCCCCCCAGGAGCAGCATCGTCTGTGGCGGGGTGCCAGCCCTGGTGGACAGCAGTGTCCCCGCCACCCTGCACGCTGTGGACCATTTCTGGTCACCTGCACGCACACCCAGGGACATGAAGGGACCGCCTCCAAGTAAAGATTGAGCAGTTAAAGGTTCAAATGCACTGGCAGAGGCAGCGCCTGCCTCGCCCCGGCGAGTGTTCTGACGTTTGCTCTCCAAGGCGTGGTCTGCGCATCTTTAAATGTTAGGTAAACAAGATGCAGCGAACACGTCCAGAAGGCTCCGTCCTTAGCACGCTCCACGTCATTTCACTTCGTCGTCGCAATAACCTCACAAGGTGGGCCCCCATTTCAGAGATGCAGAAATTGGAGCACAGAGACGTGAGTCCCTCCCAGACCAGCCACCAGGAGGCA